GTTTTAAATGGGAAAAGCAACACAGCTTTACAGAGTTAAACAAATGCTACATTAAAGAATGCAACACAGTTTTTGCATCATTAACATGTCTTAAAATAATATTCCACCCATGATGAGATTGCCCAAATAGGAGCAATAGTCTCATGAGGAACAAGATTACTCCCTTAAGACATAAGGACTACTTTTGGCCACATTGCTGAATCAGCACTTGGAGAATAAGCAACTGGACCACACTTTTGTTGTGAGAACTCATTCAGCCAATAGCCTTTGGGGTACCAGTCCATTAAGGCATGGTCTTAGGTGCTATGTGTGGACTGATAAGGGGGAAAAGATGCATGCGATTTCTCTATCTTGGGTGGTTGATGAGAGGTGTCATTCTGTAAATATGATTCTCATATTGGTTAATGAATAAAGCACTGTTGGCCAATAGGAAAGCAAGATAGATGGGACTAGGAGACTAGGAGGAGAGAGGAAGTAGTAGGGAGGAGAGTCAAGATGGAGGATAGAGAGAACACCAACCCCTCTCTCCGGTAAGATAAGACCATGTGGAAGTACTTAGATTAATAGAGATGGGTTAATAATTAAGACAGAGCTAGCCGATAAAAAAAACTACTAACTGGCTAACAGCATTATATCAAATACAGAGTCTCTGTGTATTTTTGGGGGCCGGCAAGGTGGTAGGACCAGACCAGAGGGAAAAACCTACTCCTAACATAATGGCATCCAACGCAGACTGAAGAACTTCCACTTAAAACTTAACAAAAGCTTAAAAATGGGTTTTAGAAACAAAAGAACAAAGACAAGCAAGACTTCTTGGTAGCAGCATTTTTCTCTGTTGGACTCGGTTTTGCTAGAGACAGAGACTTGCGCGGCTCCTTTAAGGGAGATTTCCTGACTCCACATAAGCGGCAAAACAAACAAACAAACAAACAAAAAACTGGCAAGCTTTTTAAAGAGTGCTGCTAACAATTCAATGGTGTGTACGAGAGCTGGCAATGACAGTGACCACATCTCCAAGCCGGCAGCATGCTGGATGGCAGCATAGATCAAGGCAGTGAGCACAGCTCTCAGTTCTGGCTGTAAAGGTACCCGCCGCCATCTTTGATAGACTGCAGCTAACTGTGGATTTCATTTTAGCAATGTTGTTGTTACCAGATAAAAGACTCGTGGCCAGAAAAAGATAAAGATTTACAGTGAAGACAGATTCACATTAAGAAAATCTGCTAAAGGTTTACAGTGTGTTTTAAAATATACATTGGCTTGGGAGAGAAAAAGAATAAAATGGTTTTAAAAAGACAGAGTAGCAGGGTATGATGACACATGCCTTTAGTTCCAGCACTCGGGAGACAGATGCAAACAGATCTCTGTGATTGCAAAGTAAACTTGGTATACAGAGTTAATCCCAGGACAGATAAAAGTTACACAGAGAAACCCTGTCTCAAAACATGAAAAAATAAAAAATAAAAGAAATATAATAATAATAATAAAAAGCCACTTAAAGATGGGAAGCACAAAAAGTGTATGGATACTATATGCTGTTCTGTTGTTTTTAAATTATTTGACTGCTGAGGAAATAGCAACAACTGTTAAAACAAATGCTGCTGGATTAATCCAATTCACATATTTTAAAAATGCTTTGGCTTCAAAATTTAAGTCTAAGGACAGGTTACTGGGGAAAAGGATTTCTATTTTTGTTTCCACAGAAAAGAAAAAGCTATGGATTCCTTCCAGAATAACATGGTTTGATCAAGCCAGGCCCCTGAAGCAGCATCCCAGGTGACCCAACATTCAAAACAGCTGGGACAAGGCAGCCTTGCAGACTATAGCCAGGATTTCTGCATCTTCTTAGGATCCCCATGACAGTGCCCCCTACCAGCAGGAAGCAGTTTAGAAAGAACGACACCCAAATTCCCAAATACTGTTTATAAATTTTGTTTTCATTTAAATGGGGTTGATTATAAATGGTTAATGATCACAATCAATCTCTTTTTAAAGGTAAAAAGGGGATTATGGTATAGATATGAATACTTTGTTTTGGAATGGATTTTCATTTATTGATAAAAATTTAAGGTCAATTTTGTGATATGTATATTTCTCCTCTTGTTTAGGTATTGTGTTTATATACATTTAGAAATGTAATGTGTAATTTAAAACAGATTATAGATAATTACCTATGATAGTCAAAACTTATAGTTAAGTTAGTTAAGATTTCTAGATATTCAGAGATCTATTTGAGATGAATAGGCATTCTTCAAACCTTTCAAAGACCTACAGAATATGGCATTTAAAATGGTTTTGGGTTTTTCTTAACCCTAATTGTTCCTGGCAATACCACCTGCGTCAGACAGGATGATAGACATTGAAGAAACATTACTTATAACAGGTGGTGATCAGGGAGATCAGATTAAAGCTTTCTGTGCCCCCAGGACAGAAGACTGATGCAGCTCTCTACCTTTATTGTGTCTCCCAAATAAATATTTGGTATCCTTTTATTTGGGCATTTGTGGACTCCCTTAGTCACACCTACACACTTTGACTAAGATAGCTTACTTATTAAGCTTCTCATCCCTGCCTCAATTCTTTCTTGATTCAAAGTTAAAACTCAGCCAGTACCATGAAGGTAGGCTGCAGAGTTTTGTGCCTTCTCTAAATAGTTGTTTTGCTTGCTTTCTTTGGGGTAAATGGCTGAACCTGGTTTTTTGAACAGTGGCCAAGTTCTGGTTTTGAACTGTAGTTACAAACAAAGATGTCTTCAAGGCATTGGGCTTTGGAGATTGAAAAAGGAAGAGGAAAGACTAGATTCCTGCCTGCACTGCAGCCAACACCTAGGCTTCTGTTGGGACTTGCTCTACCTGAAACCATGCATAGATCCATTCTGGGCTTCCTCCACTACCTCACCAGGTCCCCAGACTTCCCATGTTCTCCTCTAGGCTTTAGCCTGGCTCTCATATCCTGTGCCCTGGCCTACTCTGAGAAACCCTTCCTATACCACAGCCAAGCTCAAGACTTCTGCCAGAATCCGGCCAACCTGCACACCCCAGTTCCTTATGGACCAACTCTACCATCTCAGTAGGTATCCGGACTTCCCATGTCCTCTAGGGTCTAACCTAGTGAATATCCCTGTCTTAAGACCTTTCCTGTCTTAATTAGGGTTTCCTTGCCATGAATAGATGCCATGACCACAGTAACTCTTACAAAGGAAAAACATTTGATTGGGGCTGGCTTACACTTTAGAGGTTTAGTCCATTACCATGATGGCAGGTAGACATGGTATTGGAGACATATCTGAGAGTTCTACATCTGGATCCACAGGCAGCAGGAAGAGAGAGTGAGCCACTAGGCCTGGCTTGAGCTTCTAAAGCTTCACCCCCCCAGTGACACACTTACTCCAACAAGTCTACATCTCCAAAGATGCCACTCTCTGTGACTCTCTGGGGACCATTTTCATTCAGACCATATTCACATCCATATTCACACCTCCACAATCCAGAAAAATGTAGCCTTGGTTTTCCAACCAGTACACCCGCCTAATCTGGTTTCCCTTGCCTTCATTGCAAAGGAGATCTAGGTTTGGGACAGGATCTTCTCCCTCAAATCACAGGACTCTACCATGCCATATCCAACCTTCCCACCCAAGACATATCTACTCGTGCACTCCATGACTGGAATGGGAAGCATGTCCTGTACACCAGCCCAGTCCCCTCTGTCCACTTGACTTCATTCCACCAAGCCATCCCTACCCTTTAGACCCAACCTGCTCCCCCCCACCTTCTTTTTTATCCCAACGTTTTTGTCCTAAAACTCAAACTACCTAAGGAAGTCCACACCCATGCACTGGGCAGGGTGGCATCCCAGCACTTGGGAGGCAGAGGCAGGCAGATATTTGTGAGTTTAAGGTCAGTTTGGTCTACATGGTGAATTTCAGGACATCCAGAGCTACATAGTGAGACCCTGTCTCAAACAAAAACAAACAAGCAAACAGACAGAAGATAACCCCTCCACAAGCATAAAGAACATCCACACAACATACACAAAGACCAGATCTCAACATCTAGAATCACAATAAACCTGATTTGTTTGTTTTTTTGAACAAAATTGAGAACCACAGAGCCCCACTCCCTATAGTCATGATGGTTAATTGTGTGTTAGGATGACCAGGCACTTGACCAAATGTTATTCTGTGTGTTTCTGTGAAAGTATCGCTGGATTAAATTAAGATGTGAATTAACAGAATAAATTAACTGCCCTCCCTCTATGAGTGCTCTCCATCTTGTACAGATTATATGCACCAGTGATGAACTCCAAATAACCAATAATGCCTCAGTGTCACATTAAGGAAAGGGATAGAAGCACGTTCCCCTGGAGTCTTTTAATCAGGAATGAGTTCAGATCTGAATTCTCTACTTCATGCCCCCTGTGTCTTGCATCCTCAGTCTTTATGAGTCTGATTCTGTGCCTGCCTGAAGGCTGTCTTAAGGATCTTCTGTGTATCTCTGTGTCTATTCCTGTGTCTTTCTGTGGTATGAACTGTGTGTGTCTGTGTGTGGGTTGTGTCTGTCTGTCCCTAACAAACAGTTCCACTCTCTTTATTTAACAGCATATACAGCATCACATTGGGGGGGGGGAGGAATAGAGTATTTTATACAACTTTAAAACAGAGTTTTGGGCCAGGCGGTGGTGGTACATGCCTTTAATCCCAGCCCTTGGGAGGCAGAGGCAAGTGGATCTCTGTGAGTTTGAGGCCAGCCTGGTCTATAAGAGATAGTTTCAGGTCAGGCTCCAAAGCTACACAGAGAAACCCTATCTTGAAACACCAAAACCAAGTCAAACCAAAACAAGAAACAAAACAACAACAAACAAACAAAAAACAACAGAGTTTCACAAGGGATTCAGATTCAGCCACAGGCTCCAAATCCCAACTGACCTAGATAACAAACATCACTGTTTATCAATCACTATCCATGAATGATTTTATTTAACCTTTATGGAAGTTGCTTTTAATTTCTGTATTTGCTGCTTTCAGCAAATGATATGCACACATTACTCTGGGGGCATGCATGTCAGGGACACGCAAGAGTAAATAACATAAGATTGTAGCTATGCATCAGCTTATTACATGCAGAATCCAAGGCAAATAACGTTGATTATTCCATTGTTCTCTTAAAGGCAGGTTAAACAAATAGTTTGAGTACATAGTTGTGAGGTCCAGCAAAAGCTCCAGTCTCATAGAATGTAAGAGATATTTTCAAAATATTGTATTACCACACATCCAATTAGTTGAAGACTTAAGTAGAAAAAGGTTCCCCTCCCTCAGGCAAGGAGGAGCTCCTCTGGGTTGACTGTTTGAATTGGATATAGGTCTTCTGACTTCAAATTCACACTGGAAAAACAAACAAAACAAACAAAAACCCACCGGCTCTTCTAGGGTCTTTCATTTGCTAACTGTAGATCATGTGACTTGTCTCTTTCCACAGATCCCTTTCTCCTTCTCTTCTCTACCTTTTGTAGGGAACAGAGGCTATCAGTTTCCATTTAGAAAACATGGTGGTGATATGAAGTAATATAGTATGAGTCAACCATTACATGGCTGACATTGAACACTCTGGGAACCCCAAAAGTAAACAGCGATGTAATCTGATATATAACTATTCATTCATGTCAGAGTAAACTTTTGTATGGATTCTGTATAAAAATGACCTTGTGGTCAGATACCAGAGACATTAGCTACCACCTATGGCCTCAAGCTTATGTGTTTGTTGGTAAGCCTATGTGCTTACCACCATGAGTCCCATGTGACACCTGCTTATGTGTAGCCCACGGGTGCCTGCCTGTGCCTGGGTGCCTGTGAGCAGTTGCCTGTCCAGCAGCATTTGTTTGAAGTGAATATGTGTTTTATCTGCCTACATGTCCTCAAATTCTTTTTACCTCCTAGACTACTGTGACTCCTTCCCTTCCCAGAATCAGAGCATGGACCTCACGCCTTTCTTCTGCCTTTCTTCCTGTCTCCCTGTCTTCTCCTCTTCTCCCACAAACTCACATTTTTGGAACTTGCTTCTTTAAAGAACAATGGCTAAAACAATGATCAACAGGGTCAGAGGTCAAGAGAGGGTATATTGGGCATGATGTAAGTGGAATAACACCTCAGGAATGGAGAGAGCTATCTGAATGAAGAAGATATATTCATTCACAAATTGTTCACAGAGTATGAGGCCTGGGGAGAAACAAAGATGGTTTTGCCAGGGTAGCAAGATGTCTCAGAGTTCTCTGAGGGTGCTTGTCTTGGTTAGTGTTCTATTGCTGTGAAGAAATACCATGACCACAGCAATTCCTATGAAAGAAAGCATTTCATTGGGGCTTGTTTATTGTTCAGAGGTTTAGTCCATTATCATCATGGCAGGGAGCATGATGGCACACAGGCATACATGATACTGGAGAAGTAGCTGAAAGTTCTACATCGGCAGCAGAAAGGGAGACCCACTGGCATGGCTTGAGCTTTTGAATCCCCCAAACTGAGTCCTGGTGACATACTTCCTCCAGTCCCTCTCAAATAGTGTCACTCCTTGATGATCAAGTACTCAAATCTCTGAGCCTATGGGGGCCGTTTTAATTCAAACCACCACAGTGCTTTTGGCCAAAGGATGGCTTGGCCATTGAGTGTAAGTGTGATCCCTATGAACATGCACTGTGGAGTTTGGCAGAGGGTGGCCAGATCTGCTTCACTAGTCTCTGCCAAGACCCATGGGGCCTCAGCTCTCAGTATGATCCCTGGAGTAAAGGATCAGCACCATCTGGAAGCTTATTAGAAATGCAGAATCTCAGGCTCTACCCAGGTTCAGACCTGAATGTCTCAGAAGGTCCTTGGGTGATCATGAGCACATAGGGATCTGGAGCTCCTGTGGATGGAAGTTTCTGTCCTTCCCGGTCTCATAGCTGTTCAGTTCCAAATAAACACACAGAGGAGTATATTAATTATAGACTGTGTGGACAGTGGCTCAGGCTTCTTATTGGCTAGCTCTTTCTTAATTATTAACCCATTTCTATTCATCTGTGTATCTCTACATGGTCTTGCCTTACTGGTGATGCCCGGGTCTCTTGCTTCGTTGGCAGCTACATGGTGTCTCCTTGACTCTGCCTACTACCTTTTTCTATCCATTTGAATTTCCCACCTGGCTAAATCCTGCCTGTCCGTTGGCCAAAACAGCTTTAGTCATCAACCAGTAAAAGAAACAATATTCACAGCATACAGAAGGCCATCCTCCATCAGAGCCCTAACCCTTGGTGGACAGGATTTCCCACCCAGATTTTCTTTCATTCTCACTCAGGGTAAAGAAAGAGCAGGATGTTTTTGAGTTTCTTGGGAAGGCATGTAGACTGATTAGGTAGAAACCGCACCTCTCTCTCCCCAGACTCTGCTCCCTCAGAAAGCCTGCCAAGAGGCTTTTGAGAGGTCCTTCCTCTCAAAAAACCCGCCATCCGCGGCTCCTTCTCTGGAGATGTCCGGGACCATGCCGTCCGGCTATGTAAAACCCAGCCCATAGATCTGCCGCATGAGCTCTTGTGTTCTGTCTCCTGCTTCCTGAAGGCCACTTGAGAGCGCTCTGCTTTGCATTGCCTTGTTTATTAAATCTGGATTTATTAATTTTGGATTATTACAAGGGCAGTGGAGGAATCCAGAAAGCAGGGATCCAGTATGCAACAGAATTCAATATTGCTTTCTTTTTCATTGTTCATTCAGTGTTCGTTTCATTGTTCATGGTGCTCCTGATCTTGAGTTTGTGGGGTTCCTTTTGTCAGGTTAGGAAAGACCTGGTGTGTGGGGAATTTCCTTGACTTGGGTGGTTAGCTGTGGAGCAGGAAAGGCATTCCATTGATATTAGGTGCAGACCTTAAGTTCTAGACAATTAAAAGACTGTGAAATGCAGCTCTGTTGTGAGGAGTTCATCATGACTCAATTATCCAATGAGTGGTTGCTTCCCATTTGGTAGAGCATACAGAGGGCCACCAGGCTGACACCATGTGCCCCAAGAGCAGTCCTAATCAAGGGGCAGCAATAGCCTTCAGAACTGAAGCAAACTGAGGAAGCCAGGAAATATAACTTTCCCTAGGTCAAGAGCAGCTTATCATTATTAGATTAAAAACAACAGCAACAACAAAAACAAACAAACCAAAAAACCCAAAAACACATGCAGTATTTAGTCTAGTGCTAGGTGGGAGCCCATTAGGGCCCCGAGTCCTGGCCACTTGATGTAAAGAGCCCTGGATGCACTTAAGTCTCACTGCAGTGCACCCTCTTTCCCACAGAGAATGCTGGGGTGCACCAATTGAGGCAGGAGGACTCATCTGTGAGGTGCTGAGGAGGGCGACTTCTGTAGTTCAGGGGCCAGGGTGCTTGCTAGCTTCACCTGAGAATAGATTACAGGGGACTCCTGGAGGACACAGCATCAGGGTAAGGGAGGAGCTGGCACGGGGTGTTGTGGGGGGGGGAGCTACAGGTGTCAGGAGACTAACTGTGTTTGTGAAGACCCAGAGTTCAGAGGCCAATGTAGAAAGAAAGGGAGAATTCAAATGTGGGTGCTGCTTGGAGGTCCTGTTCAGAGAGGTCACCCTTTGCCTCCCTCCTTTCCCTAGCCAGCCTCCTAAATAGCACTTCACCATGCTGTCAAAGGCTGTCAAGGGAATTAAACTTGCTTTCTAACCCATTAGTCGTTTAGTCTTTGTTCTCTCTCACTGTCTTCATCCAAGATGCTGTAGTCATTTGCGAAGTACAGTCTAAGGGGGAAATGTGTATTTACTTATAGACCTTAGAAATGAACCTAGTACATGAAACCTGCTCAGGGTGTGTGACTGTTATGTTGCCTAAGCATCCAGGCTTCCTGAAACTGTACTGAAGTTGACCCTGGAAACATCCTTTTTTGTGATTTAATAGTTATAGGACCTCAGGCCAGTAATTGAAGGTCTCTGTGTCTCAGTTTTTACCCTCTACAAGATAGTGACAATAACGCTCCCATCAAAGGGGTTGTAAGGTTAAAGGATAACATGTGTTAAAGGAGTATCACAGAAGAAAAAAAATGAGATGCAAGTTCATTTGACTTTATACAAAAGTTAGAAACCCAGAAAGAGAAACAGTGGGAAAAGCCACACAGCACTTCTTATAAGCAGGCATAAGAAAAGCCTGTTCAAGGACGTGGTCCCCTTTCCGTGTCCTGATAGAAAGCAAGCTAGTTTCCCTCACTGTGGTCACCTGTAGAGTGGAGGCTTATGCGTGTTACAGTGAGACTGCCAGCAGGCAGACATTGCCACAGCTCCACAAGACAGTGTGGCCCCTGGAGTGATGTCCCTGGTACTCAGGGACTAGTCCTGCAGCCTGTGAACACGTGATCCTAGGTGGAGAAGATGGATCTTTAGATTGTGAACCGGTCATGTGGGGGGGGGAATCCTTAACAGTGGGACTATAACCATGTGAATTATTACATTCACGTGAGGCCTTAAACTCGGAGGCTTTCCCTTGCTGTGGTCAGAGGGAGGCCTGACTACGAAGGATGGAGGAGGTGGGAGAAGCCAGCTCTCTCCCAAAAGTAGGTGACTTGTAGAAATTAGAGAAGTCAGGAAGCAAATTTGCCTCTCAGCTCCAGAAAGGCACATTAGGACAATGTGCCAAGTAAGACCCATTCAGACTTAGGATCTACAAAGCTACGGCTCTCCATGTGTCTTGTTTAACGCTGCTGTTTGCGGTAGTTTGTTGTAGCGATAGAAAACTAATGCAGAAGGGGAGGTTTTGTGGGCTGAATAGTTGTGCCTGTTTCTAGATTCAGGCTTTTAAGTTCCCAGTTGCAGTGTGCTGTTTTCAGAATGGGATAACCTGCCTGCCATGGGTCATGAGAAAAACAATAGAAAGAAAACATCTGTCTGCATGCCAGGAAGGGTCTCCCCTCAGAAACCCACCAGACTGGGTTAAATGCTAACCCTTTAGTTCCAGCTCTCAAGAGTCAGAGGCAGGTGGATATCAGCGAGTTTGAGGCCAGCCTTGTAAGATAGGCAAGCCAAGTCTATGTAGAGAGAACCCTATGGCATCCCCTGTTTGGGGAGGAGAGTCACTTTTCCTCAAGGACATGCTCCAGGAGATGGCTCCACACCCGTGTACACACAGGCATCACTAACGGCACTCAGAGAGAATTTAAAAAGGAAGAAGAGAGCAAGTGAAAGAGAGGTGGGAATGGAGGAGGAACTGGAGGGAAGGAAACAGGGTGTTCTTGATCCAAATGCATCATACACATGTATGGATATTTAATGCCACATTTTAAAAAGAAAATATATTTAAATGATTGAATAAAAATGAATATGGAAGAAAGAGAGAAAGGAAGAAAGAAAGAAACCATGGCCATTGTTAGGTCTCAAAGAAACTTGGGACGAATGACTAACTGAGGTGCCTATTTAACCTATCCAAGCAGACTCTGGCCACCGGTCTCTTCATCCCCACTCACAAGTACCTGTTACAGGGTCATCCTGGCTGGCATATCTTCCCTTCCCCTAGCTTCTCTTTTCTCCTGTGTAACTCAGCCATTTTGGCTATGTGATCTCTTGGCTCCTGGCTAGCTCTGCTCCTGGATCTCTCTTGGTCCACTTGTCCTCCCCCGATGGCCACCCCTCCCCATGGCCCAGTTCAGTCTGCTGGCCGTGCTCAGGCTGGACTCTCCCAGATGCTTCTGGCTGTTCTCCCTCTCCTATCTGCATTAAACCCTCTCTTTTTTCAAGCATACCTCAGAGCAGGCATGTCCTTGTTTTATTTATTTGTTTATTTATCTGATAATGAAACCGAGTGTCATATATGAGTTCCCTTCCAAGGGACTCAGCCTTTCTGAACCAAGTTGCTTATCTGACTCTTCTAAAGTATGTACAGATCATTTGTTTTTGCTGGCGTCTGCCCCCCACCAAATTTGACTCCAGATTCTGGAGTCCGCCGCTTCAGCTGCTTCCTCCCTCCACCTGCTCTAACCATCTGCCTCCCCTTGCCTACTCAGTAAGTGTCTCTCTGGCTCCTGCAGCCAGCTATGACTCCTGGACACCTGTCCTCTGGCTCCCAGAGCATACTCTGCCAGACCTGGGGCTCATATCTTCATCTCTCTGGCCTGCTACACCCATGTGGGCATCTCTCTATTAAGGACAGCTACCCACCCCCTTTTCCCAAAAGCCTCTTCCGGTATACCTCTTCATCTTTTTCTCCTCTGCTCCTCACCTGGAAAGGGATGCCTCATCTTGTTTATGATTTGGGACATTTCTCTTGGACAAGTCTCTCAGACTGAGGATGTTCCAGATTATAATTCTCATCACCACGGCACTTAACCCTCCTCCCCTCCTTCTTGGACTTTCCTTGCCTCTTTCTAGGAGCTGCAGCCCTGTGGCTTCTCTATGCCCTCCCGGGGTTACAACCCTTTAATAGTCTGTATTTGTTTTCAAGGTTAAGCCTAAAACTAAAACTAGTAACTAAAACAAGTAAATTATGTTTAACTCAGTCATACTTACTAGATAATGGTCCTTAAACTCTTCAGAGATCTGCTGAATATGGCACTAAACTGTTTAATGGAAAAAAAATCTTCCAATGATGCACAGAAATGTCAGCTCCTAGCAGCAACTCTATGGTCTCTAAAGATGATGGGGCACAGATGACTTCACCTGGATTGGTGTAGCTTTATCTACATGGAAAACTGCCCATGCCTCACTGGCTGCCAGGGCGCTGTTCAAACTGTGGACACTGTTGGGTTGGCTGTTCTACTCTGCCTTGCCAAAGTGGGTCAGTTTTTCCAAATTCTTTCTCTACAGAAAAATCTCTCAGACTTTCTGGGTCTGGCAGCCAAAGGCCAATTCTGTTCCATGCAGCAGCCAAAGATAGAATGTTGTCTGTCCTGTATGATAGCCAAAGACCAACTACTTTTATCCCCAGCAAAGCCAACACTGCAGGAGCCTAGGATAGCATTCCAGGTAGCAGTATGTCTCTGTCATCTTACTTCATACATAAGTCACTTGGATTATACTTCCTGCTATAATTTATCCTTTGCAGATCACTGATGATATTGATGGGTAACTGTAGCTTTATGTTAACAGCAACAGGCACCCAGCTCCTCCCAGCAAGGCTGCAACTCAATTCATTTCCTATATAAAATCTGGCAATAGGTCTCACTTGTTTCTAGAGCTAAGTTTCCTGCTGAGAAAGGCAGACACAGACACAGTTAACCTTGCTGGCAGACCTCACTCTGACAGACACACTCATAACAGGTTTCAATGTAACTTTTTTACTATTCCTTTCTTTAGAGGAACTTTCTTTGCAATGACTGCTCTCAGGAACCAACTACCCACATCTCATGGTAAATGATTAGATGAAAAGAAAAAGTTCAAAGTTTATGTAAGTTAGGAGGATCTGAGAAACTAATTTAGGGTATAGAAATGCAAGTTGTGAGGATGTAAAAGGTTAAGTTGTGAGTGAGGGTCTAAGAAACTAATTTAAGGTGTACAAGTGAAAATTGTAAAGGTATGAGAAAGTTATTTAAAGTAACAACAAATGTTTCAGACTTCTTTCCCTTTCTATGCTATTGTCATACTAAGACTTGTGAAATTCAATTTTAACATTAATCAATGGAGTTCTGATACACTGTTCATCTAGGCCCTGCTAAAGCACTGCTACTATTACCACAGTCACAAGCTCAAAATTTAATTTTTTTTTGTTTGTCTTCTAAATCTAGACTTAAAAGTGCTTCTCAATCATGCTAAAAACATCTCTGTCCAAACTACATATCCAGTTCCCTGGATTTTATAGGAAAAATGTTAATGCTTTTAACCCAGAATCCTATCTTTTAACTCAGAATTCTACTTTGGGTTCCAAGCTTCTACTCTGACTTGAAGGCGTGAATCTACTGCTTTTTCTACAATGTGGATTTCAGACCAGATGACAAACAGTGGTAACGCTAATATGTCTAAAACTTTTTAAGCTTCAGGAAGTCATGACTTGTATCTACCTGTTATAGGTCAAAGGTTACAGACTCCAGATAAGCACTCCTGTTAATCAACATACCAAGTTTCTCTACCTACTGTCTACACCAGAGGGTGAACTCCCCATTTCCCTGGTCTTGGGACTCCCCCCCTCCTCCAACTACCAGGACCATGGGCCTGGAAGTCTCAAATGTACACCCAAGATAAAATGTTCCCTAAGCTCCTTAACTTCACCTTCTGTCCCTAGTCTATACCTGCCCCAAGCGATTTCCAATCAAGCTGAAGAGTGCAGGCTGCTCCAAAACTGCCTGCAACGCTCCAGCTCCAGGTGTTCCTTTGGAACCTGCATCCTAGACTGCTCCAAAGCAACCTGTACTTCACCAGCCCCAGGTGGCCCCTCAGACCCTGGGCAGTGGAACAGCTGACTCCCAGCCTGTGCCCCTCTCTCCCTTTCTGGCGTGACCAACATTCCAGCTTTCCTGTTCAGCCCCACCCCCACCATAATCCTTATTTCAGCAAGAGTAATTATAGAAGAGATGATGTCGCCCTTATCATCAACAAAAAGGTGGGATGAAAACTCAGGACAAATGGCTAACTGAGGTGCCTATTTAACATTCCAAAGAGACTTTAGCCACCAGTCACCCTTGTCCCTTGTACATGTTACAGAGTCATCCTGGCTGGCATATCCCACCTTTACCCTCTCCAGCTCCTGAGCTTTGCTTCCCTTCCCCCAGCTTCTCTTTTCTCCTGTGCAACTCAGCCATTTTGGCTACGTGCCCCCTTGGCTCCTGGCTGGCTCTGCTCCTGGATCTCTCTTGGTCCACTTGTCCTCCCCCGATGGCCACCCCTCCCCATGGCCCAGTTCAGTCTGCTGGCCGTGCTCAGTCTGGACTCTTCCTGATGCCTCTGGCTGTTCTCCCTCTCCTGTCTGTATTAAACCCTCTCTCCCTTCATACCTTGGAGCAGGCATGTCCTCAATTTTCATTTGGCCATCTGGCACCTTGGTCTTGGGCTTTCAAACTTCTGAACTGTAACACATATTTGTTATTTCAGCTGCGCAATCTGCAGTGCTCTGTTTAGGGAAGCAGGGATGACTGTCCTATTCCACCTTGTAGATGCTGACACGGAAGCTCAGAGGAGACTACGTGATCATCTTGTAACTCAGTGATCCTGAGCTCACACGGGCAATGGAGAAGGCAGCACTGTATGGTAGCTTTGCATTAGCTCCAGACAATGTAGGTGCAAGTTAAGATAGCCTAGCATCCTGGTAAGGACAGGCTCTGTGCCTGGCTGGCCCAGACCTCCTGAAGAGGGGGAGGCTGAACAATAGGAAAGACTTCACTAGATTTTACCTGCTTGTTTGCATCTCTGTTGGGTGCTCCATACTTGTGTGTAAATCACTTCTTCTTTAGGGTCTATGAGGAAGAAGGTAAAGTTTCAGAGCTTAAGGTGCTTGCCTCTTTTCTTAGCTACCTATCCCTCCTTTGGCCAGTTTGTTCTCTGGAAGGATTTTAGTCCTTCAGGGTTTACCATCTTCCTGACCCTGTTCTGATATGCACCCTGTGATTTCTGCCAAACCAGAGACTGGAGGGCCCCTGTCCTCACCACTGCTGTATGCTGGTTGCAGTTCTATACAGGTTGGAATGTTGTAATAGGTGGGCTCCTGGGGTTCTGAATATGAAGGGTTCCTGTAAGATATAGAAACACAGCTGTTTCCCAGGAAGTGAGACAGGGGATGCTCATCCCTTTTAAGGAATTTTCAGTCAATATTATTCCTTTCTCTAGGTTTGTGGCCACACGGCATGTAAGAGGCACCAGCTAATGTTTAGAAATACTTAGGTCTGCTTTGCTCCCATCTTATATGCGTAAGCAATGGGCATTTTATAAGACTAAGTGGCTTGTCCACACCACCAAACCAGAAAGGGGACGAGCCAAGACGTAAAACAGGTCTAAGGCCCTTCTCAGAGACACAAAGATCAGACAGGCCCCAAAGAACTCTGATGGTTTGAACTCGGCCACTACGGGAGACCCAATGACAGTTTGTGAGCGGTCTTTGGATGACTGTTAAAGTGAGCCTTCAGGATGCACGAAGGTAGCCATGTCTTCACAGATACTACTTGTTGACAGAATGCCTTCTCTAGGTGGGTGAGATATGTGGCTCCATCTTCTCAGCTGTCATCGCAATGGATTTTGATTAGGCTACCATGCTCAGAGACTTCAAGACTAAGTAAGCTATATCATCTCAAGAGGGATGGACTCAATGCCTGTGTGACAGGAGAAAGGGAACTAAAAGAGCGCTTCCATGATTGACACAGAAGAAGCCAAGTTTGCAGAGGAAGACCAGAGGCCGTTCTTCACCTTGCCATCGCCTAACAAAGAGAATGTGTGTGAAACAAAGCCCGAGACTTGCCTATGGGAGGGAGGGGCGTTATAAAGACCACGTACCGCATGGTCAGCTCTCTTTTGGGCTCTTTTCTTGGCTCACGAGCCCTACTTCCATTCTTGGGAATGACATTTCTTAATAAAACTATCTCTTATAGTTTTGGTTGTGAGCCTAGCCTTTAACAGCTGAGCCACCTCTCCAGCCCAATAAACTATTTCTATTCTATGCTGCTCAACTTACAATGCTTGACTTTTTCCCCATCTTTCTTGGTTGGTGCCACCAGGAGTTTCAACTAACTTGTCCATGTTTTTCTCTTAAGTTCTAATAAAATTGTTATTGAGCTTCCTTTGAATCTCTTTCTAAATCCTTTTGTTAATGAGAATAAGAACTCCCAAAGGGAACCTCAGTTTCCCTATTAACTGCCAAAGTGGTCATTCAGACAGCCAAGCTAAGAGTGGTTAATAAATAAATGAAACACATTTACCACTTGATGTGAGAAGGAGGCTTCGCTGTAGCTAAGGGGAGATTCTGGGAATTGGTTGCAAACATCCCAAGGGAGGGGCAGCGGTAGCCATAGGGTACAACCCACCTCGGGAACACTTGTAGAAATTGTGCTCTTGGTGCTAATAAGATTTGATTTAATTTTGCTGTCCTATGGGCGTTACCATTACTTCCAGAAATAAGGTCAAGTTCTTACCTGGAGTCATCAAAGGCAGGCTTTCCCCCTGTAAAGGAAGACATTGTGTTTAGGAAGAGGGACCTTCATGGGGACTAAGGAGCAGCTCAGATGGGGTTCACACGGCGATTGCCAGGAGACCTGAATCTTTGCTATGCTGACAGGGTGGGAGAGGAGTAAGAGCAACTGAATTATTGCTGCTGGCCTCTAGAAAAAGGAACCTCCTCAATCCATACTCCATTAACCTGGATCTTAAATGACAGCAGTCTTTAATGACTACACATAGTTTAACAGACTCAGCAGGAAAATAGACTTGATCGTCAATAAAAATGCTATTCATTTAAAAAAAAATCAGTCAGTGACCACATCCTATTTGGGTTCTGTTTTGACTTTCATCTCTTGGAGTCTTTCTCTTCCTCTCATTCCTTGGGAAATCTTAAGACCAGCCAGAGGACAGCCTCTGCCCTTTCTGAGGTTAGACAAACAGATCTCACCTAGGCATGTTGCTCACAATGTGGCTGTTGGAGCAGCTTTGTATTTGGTAAACAGGACTTCTGAAGGACCAGGCAGGAAAGGGGATGTGATGGAGGAGGAAGGAGTTCATGAGAGCCTAGGGCTGGCCACATAGTCAGTGTGAGCCTACAGTAATGGAGATGGGAAGGGCATGCTAAGATACTTAGGGAGCCACCCACCGGCTTTTCTAGAGAACCAGCAATGAAACAGTACTCCAGCAGCCACGCCAGCCACGACAAGCAGTCCCCCAGTGACTCCAGCTGCCACAGGAACACTTCTGCTCTTGCTCATGTCTGGAGAGGGGGTGGAAAGAAACCCAACCATAAGTCCAAGAAGAGGTGCACAGTTTTGAATGACTCTGGGTCTCAAAACTGGTGTTTTGTTATTGGGAAGGAGAGGAAACTTTGTGACCAGAAGTCCTGAGGCTTAGTTGTGACTGATATGGCATGAGAGATGGCTCATTTGTATGTGAGGAAGCTTGTCTGGGCGCCTGTCTGTGTGCTCAAAGAAAGGCCGAGGGTTAAGATGGATTGTGGCTGGGCAGAAGGGGCAACCAGGCAATGAGCTGTAAGCTCCCAGATGCTCTCGGAAGCCTTGCTTGCTCTCTGGCACCAATTTAGAACTACTTCAGAGTATAATGGCCTAGAGAGCCATAGTTCAGGGTACTTGTCTGGTCAGCCATCATGAGTTCTGGTCTCATGAGGCATGGACAGTCTATGGGTCCCCATGGTAAGGGAACAGCATTTATATCTAGTGTATGAGTGAACATTGGGAGCCCATTACACATAGAGGGATACTTTCTCAGTCTAGACACACGGGGGGAGGGTCTAGGCCCTGTCCCAAATGATGTCACAGACTTTGATGATCCCCATAGAAGGCCTCGCTCTTTCTATGGAGAAGAGGGATGGGATGGGAGTTAGTTGGTGGGGGAGCATGGAAGGGAGAGGGAACTGGACTTGATATATAAAATAAGATTGTTTCTAATTTAAAATTTTTTAAAAGAGGAAAAGCAAAACAAAAGTGTCATTTTCTTACTGTGCAGGGCCCTTAGGCCATTGTCAGCCTCACAGAAATTTCCAGAATGTTCTGCAGTCTGAGAGATGCATCCCCAGGGAGCAGGGGTATTTCCCAGGGTGACATTGTTTGTGGTAAAATTGGTACAAGATTGGGGGGAAGCCTCCCAGAGCCTCAGAGTGAAGCTCAACTATGTCACCTACCACATCCTGGGCCCTGGGGACCCGGGGTGTGAGGACATGGTGGAACACTGGAAATGAAACTTCAGCAAAAGCTTATGCTTCTAACACATTTGTTACCCTTACAAGAGATGAGTGATAATATAAGCAAATTAAATAAATAAAAACATTTGATATACTTGAAAACTAATTACTTTGACCTACAAATAGCTTTTCATGAACAAAAAATATTCAACAGAAAAGTCAAAGTTTTATACGAATTACTGAAAATACTTGTCAACAAATATATAAAAGACTCATCTCCATTACTAATCAAATATGCAGTTAAATCCGGTCATAGGCTATTGCTCCTTTCATGCTTAAATAGAGTGGTAATACAGATGAAGTCGTGGCAATACAAACTGAGGGCACTTTTTTTGAATGGCAGTTTGACAATATCTATAAAATTAAAGACAGCTATAAACTTGGAGACTACAATCTCCTTGGAGGACCAAGTAGGAAACATATGTTTGTTCAGTGCTTCCAGAAGAAAAGAGGTGACCACCAAACCAGCTACAAAAGCTGAGCTCTGTATGGATGACCTACCTTCATGATACGCTGGGTACAATGGTGGCGCAGAGCTTGTGGCAGTCACCAGCCACTCTCTTATTGGATTGACACCCACTCCATGAGATGAAACCCATGCCTGACACTGCTCAGAGGCCAAGAACCGAAGTTAACACAGCAACCAGATGACTCCTAATGACAGTGCCTCCCTCATCTACCATCTACCATCATCTACCATCAGAGAAACTTCCTCTTGCAGTAGATGGGAACAGACGCAGAGACCTACAACTGGCCAGTATGCAGAGAATGAGGGCTTTTGGAACACTCATTCCTAAGTGGATGTCTTCATCGTATCACCCAGGGCTCCGAGAGCTATGTGGAAGAGAAAGCACAAAGATGGCAAGAGCCAGAGGAGATGGGTGACACCGAGCAAACAGTGTCTTTCAGGTACAACAGGAATGATAAACTTATGAACTTGCAGAGACTGTGGCAGCACAGAAGTGGGCCTGACAGAAAATGGCAAGATCTGTGGAACAGGGGGCCAGATCTTGTGTCGAGGTTATGAGGCAGGCAGTGTGTGAAAAGACTGAAGATGGGAACATGGTTGGTCCATTTGTGTTGTTGCAACACGAAGGGCAGCACTCAGAAAGGCCCAGTAAGTGTGATGAAATAGGAGGCCAGAGACTTGCATGGCTAGAGGCTTGGTCTTTCTCATCAAACAGTGGAAAGGCATGAAGGCGGATTGAACTGGAGAAGAGTGGAGCAGGTGGGTCACTGAGTGGCCCTTCAGTAGTTGAATTAATGGTGAAGTTGACTAGCTGGTGGTAGGGAGAAGTAGAGAAGCCTGGGAAGGAACATCAATAGGACTGGCTGTGAGGAGGGAAGATCCCTGGGACTCTTGTCTATGTATCTGGATGAAGGAAAGTGTCTCACAGGGCAGATACACCCCACATAAGCACAAACCAGAGTGGAATTCAGTAGTTTCCTTCTAGAGATGTCCAGCTGAGGAGCTTCCAAGAAGAGTGGGACATGGCACAGGCAGGTCCTCAGGGGGAGGTCTTCATGGACACAAATGTGGGACCATCACAGATAGCCAGGCCAGCTATAGTGCAGGGGCCAGGCGTTGGTGGTACCCACCTTTAATCCTAGCACTCAGAAGGCAGAGGCAAGAGGATCTCTGTGAGTTCGAGTCCGGCCTGATCTACAAGAGTGAGTTCCAGGACAGCTTCCAAAGCTTGTCTCGAAAACCAAAAAGAAAAGGGGGGAAAGAAGAAGAAGGAGAAGAAGGAGGAGAAGGAGAAGAAGAAGGAGTAGGAGGGGGAGAAGAAAGAAAGAAAGAAAGAAAGAAAAATACAGGTAACAAAACACACTGCACTCATGACTTCCATTTTCGCCTGGAATACAGTTCATGTTTTGAGAAACCTTTATCCTGTGTTAGAGGATATTTTGGGTCACAATGAATGAAAAGTGATGCTATCAGGCAAGGTACGTACAGCTAACAGAGGAAAGGCTGCAAATTCTGCAACATGTAAAACCCAAAGTTCCCTACATAGACTGTGTAGGCAGAAGGCTTGCTATAACATCACACAGTAGCTGCTTCTGTGCGGAAAACCCCAGCACTGCCTCCTGGTCATGGTAGAGAGATGATAGGTAGAGAGATGATAGTCCCTTGTACTGCCAGTTTGAAGAGCTAACTTACCTATAACACTCAGTGCCAGCATGTCGCTGCGCTGGGGCCCCCAGCCATTGTCAGCCTCACAGAAGAAGTTTCCAGAATCTTCTGCAGTCACAGAAAAGTTGAAGGACCCTCTTCCCCCAGAAGGGGCTAAGCTGCTCCCCAGGGTGACATTTTGGTGATAAAAGTGGTACAGGATTGGAGGAGAGCCTCCCAGAGCCTCACAGTAAAGGTCTACGATGTCGCCCACTGCAGCCTGGGACCCAGGGACCCCGAGTGTGAGGACAGGGCAGGACACTGGAACTAAGGGAGAGAATGAGTTAGTTCACATCAGTGTCTTTTATTTTTAAATTTAAAAACACCCAATATATTAAAAAATTAATTAACAGAATTTTTGTCATGTGTTTTCATTTTCTAGAGCTCACATCTATTGAATAGTTCTTTACCACCCTCCCCCCCCCCACCACTGAGATAGAGTCTGATTAGATGGCCCAGGCTGGCCTTGAACATTAGCTTGTTGTCCTCTCAAATGCTGAGATCAGAGCTCTGTACCACCACAACTAGGTTTTTTTTGTGTCTTTCCTCTGTATGAGTACACTCATATCAACACATAAACACATAAAAATGCATGCATGGGATCCCAATATACACACTGGTTTATAATCTGCTTTTGCCCTTAGCAACATGAAAGCCCCAAATGAGGTATTGTTCTGACTGTGATAACTGATGTGGGAGAGCCTATACCACAGTGTGGGGTACCATGACTGGGTGAGCAGGCAGTGGAGAGCAAGCCGGTAGGCAGCGCGCCTGTGGCTTCTACTTCAAGCTTCTGCCTTGGCTTCCCTGGAGGATGAACTGTGTAGACTGTAAGCTGAAATGAACCCTTTCCTCCCCAGGCTGGTTTTGGTAGGCTTTAGCACAGTGATGAGATGCTAACCAATCCACAAAGAACTCAGTGCAGTAAAGTCCCAGGGCAGTGGATTCTGGGGCTAGCAGAAGCCTTATGAAACAGAAATTATGAGGTAGGGAAACTGAGTTCAAAGCACTCAGCACCAAGGGCAACAGAGACAGGAAAATACAGGAAGAAGGTATTTGTAGGACTTACTAGAGTAATGGAAACTTCTAGTTTACTGGGTGTCACCCCTTCAACAGTCTATTTTGAGAAATATATTCTATTGTAAGACATCTTCCAGTTCTTGTCTGAGTTGGCTGTGTTGTCTTTCTTATTTTTTTCTTACTCTCAAGACAGCCTTGCAACAAATTCTCACCTACCTAGGACTAGGACTCCTGGCCCCTTTCCTTGAGATACAAAACAGTCTGCCACATCAGACTCAGTATTTTTCAACAATATGTTCTACTGCTTTGAAAAACAAAAACAACTAACGGGGTTTTTGCTTTCTTCTAAACAAAGACCTAAGTACAAGTAGAAGCAAGTTTGTTCCTTCAGTGACTCATTTGTGATGTTAACAAGTGGCCTTGATAATGATCAACCATAATCATCTGTAACTAAATAAAATGAGAATATGACCACTAACTATAAGGCAGATTGAAGAGAGTTTTTTGTTTTTTGTTTTTTGTTTTTTTTTTTTTTTGTAGATATGAGTGAATGAGTGATAGTATAGCCAGAGGCATCTGGAAGAGTTCAGAACAGGGAGAGAGAGTAGTGGATTGAATATGGCCATCAGAATGAACTGGGCCATTCAAGGGGGGAGCATAGAGGGCAGGGAGCAAGAAAGTAGGACCAAGAAGGAAGGGCTACAGATAGAGGGGCAAGCAGACCAAGAGAGCCTAAGAGCCAAAAGGGCAAAGAGAACCAGGAGGGTGCATGGTCCCAATGGCAGAGTTATACAGAAATGAGAAGCTGGGGTGAAGGGAAGTCCATGGCTGGGTAAGAAGAGTTGAGCAGAGCAGGATGCCAGCATGGGACTCAGCAGGAGGCCCCTGTTGAGGGAGCTTACAGGCCAACACATGCTTAGTGTCCTAATAGGCACCACAGTTAGCCATTTGTACAGGGTTTCTTTTGGACCTGACATACCCATTTCTGCCACCCTTCAATAAAGGTCTAGAAAATTACATAATGCAAGCCCATTTGCTTAAATGGACTTCTAGAAAGAGCATCATGAAAACCCTAGAAAATTCAGCAGTACACTTCCCCCAGAAAGCCATGTCCTTCTTTTCTGTCAAACCTAGTCCGTTCCCAACCTATGTCGAGAGCTGTAATCGCTTGTAAGTCTTTGGAATATCTAAGGTCTTGCATAATAATTGTTCATTCCTCTGACCTGTAGAGATGTGGGTGCCTCTGTTGATGAAGAGATGTCAGCTTGGGGACTAAACATTACAGGGCACAAGCAAACAGCATGAGACGACCATACACATTTGTTGCAAGCTATGGAGCTAGGCAGAAGTCAGGTCTAACCTGGGCTAGATAAGCACTGAGGCCCACAGACAGTGAGTGAGTTGGCTGTGAAGGGAGTCTTGAGCAGGGCTAGGGTGGTTAAAGAAACAGAGCTGTGGGGACAGCCTTCCAAAGGGTCTGGTGAGAAGGAAATCTGTGTAGCTTTAAGTATCAGCAGGAACCCAGGTCTTACCAGCAACAGAGATCCTTACAGCCTCACTGCGCTGGGCCCCCAGGCCATTGTCAGCGGTGCAGTAGTAGTTTCCAGAACGCTCTGTGGTCATAGAGAAATTGAAGGATGCTCCTCCTCCAGAGAGCACAGAGTTGATCTCCAGGAAGACATCCTCATAATAGAACTCATACTGGATATGTGGAGAACCCTTCAGGGATTTACAGTGAAGCGTCATCAAGTCTCCCTCAAGGGCCCAGGTCTTGCCAGTGCTTAGGGTGAGGACAGGCTGAGACACTGGGACTGAAGGAGAGAAAGTGGATTGCCAGTTACTTCTGTTTGGCTTTGTAGATCTCAACCCTTGGCTAATGTAAATGCATAGTCTCCAGCCTATAAGACCTTGGGACAGTTCAACCTCTAAGTCTATTATCAGCAATCTCCTGACTTCCATGCCGGTCTTTCATCTGTTCCTTTCCCATCCATCCTCTGGCCTTGTTCCTCCTGGCCTTCTTGTTTGATGACTCACCTTCATTTTGCAGAAACGATACCTTCAAGGGAGACACCTGTATTTTACTGCTACAGGACTGATAACCTTTCCCTGGTCAACCCTTTGCTCTTGTGTGACCTGTTTGTTTTCCTGCATTTTAAGACTCCATGGCTGTGTCTGTATTTCTCTACTTAGGGGAGTGTCAGTGCTTTTATCCAGAATTAACATGCTCTTCCAGGGTGCTCCCCTTAGGTCCTACCTTCTCCAAGGTATTCAGAATGATCATGATCCTCTATTATAGGTAAGAACTTGAGCAGGGAGATGTAAGAAGTTAGGCATGTGCAACCTGACTCTGAATGTGACCTGCCCTGGATGTGGCCTGATTCTGGATGTTGACCTGATTCTGGATGTGGCCTGACCCTGGATGTGGCCTGATTCTGGATGTGGTCTGACCCTGGATGTGGCCTGATTCTGGAGGCTGCTGCTTACTTTTGGTGGACAGTAGTTTCTCCTTGCTCCATTGCCTGGGCACAGGAGTAATATTTCAAATATTGCAGTAAACAGAGAGAGGTGTTGAGGTCTGGGGGGCGGGTCTTAGGATTTCAGCCTCATGGCAAAACCAATGGGCCAGAGGAGGTGTCCTCTCGGCCTCCTGGCGAAGCTCTACCACATCCTGCACAGTGTCTCACTGTAGGAGCCTGAAGGTAGGAAAAGACCATGCCACTGGGGCTTGAAGATGCAGCAGTGGGGTCAGGGTGTGTCCCTGAAAACCCTTACACGTATAGTAAGAAGATTGTCAGGAGGCAGCTCCCAGGGTGCACTGGTTCTAGCATCCCATCTATTCTTCCGTTAAAAGAGCCATTTCAGTTCAACTGGAAAGTAATTTGTAATTTACAAAGGGTGTATTCCTACTCACTGAGCATTTTCTTCAACCTGACTCTGAGAGTTCCCATGCCCTCAGCCCTTTCTATATATTTCAAAGTCTTTCCTGTTCATATTTGAGTAATGCTTAGCAAGTTATTCAGAACATTGGATTATTGGTAACTGACAATATCTACTTCCACCCTACTGTCTTAAGTCCCCGCTAAGAATCTCTGTGTGTAGTTTGGGGGATCCATTCCTCAGATGATGCCTGGCAAAACTCACCTTTTATGGTGATGGGGACTGCCTGGCTGACAAAGCTTCGGCGACTGTTGCTGACTTCACAGTAATAATCCCCCGAGTCACTGCTATTCACTGCAGAGATCTTGAATTCTGCTTCTGAGGATTTAGGAATCTTTGTTTCTTTATTCATCTTGCCCCTTTTGTACCAGGAAAATTTGATGGGCCCTGGGACCCCTTTTACTGAGCAGTTGAGTAACAGCAACTGTCCTTCAAACACCAACTTTGAGATTGGGACAATGTGTATTTGGAAGTCTGCAAAAGCCCCTAAATAAACAAGAATGACATGTGTGGGACGTTTGGTGATGAGATGCTCATAGATGAGGGGTGGGGAAGACAAAACAGAGTTAGGCTTCTCTTTGGGAAGTGAACAGAGGGAGGAGACTCTGTTATTTTGCCTGTATTCTTCAATGGCCTTGTCAAGAATATGGACCAGGAGCCAGGTGGTGGTGGCACATGCCTTTAATCCCAGTCCTCAGGAGGCAGAGGCAGGTGGATCTCTGTGAGTTCAAGACCAGCCTGGTCTATAAAAAGTAGTTCTAGGACAGCCTCCAAAGCCACAGAGAAAACCTGTCTTGAAAAACCAAAAACCAAACCAAACCAAAACAAAAATAATATGAACCAGGAATATAGGTTATTCTACTCAACCTGACCTCATGTCTACCCATCCTGATAGAGCAATTCCAGAGATGCTACCTAGTGCTCCACACTTAGAAGAAGTGGTGGAGATGTGAAGGGAAGAGGGAGACTTGGCATCAAACATGATTGTCCTGAGTGTAGTGACAGCGCAGTTGATTGGAAGTGAAGCATGAGCATAAGTAATAAGCTGGCTCGAGTCAGGATTTCTTAACTTCCCTGGTATATCTGTCAGGTGGATAAAGGGTGTAAGTCCAGGATAGAATGACAAGGAAGGATCATCTGTGCTGGGAACAGGTTTAGATATGTTGGTTTAGAACAGTGCCTTTTGAGTTATTCTCCAATCTTGAAGAACAAAATATGACAGCTGAATAGAGGGTGGGAAGTATGTGGGGTTCAGCAATTATGTTGAAGGAGAGACTGTGCTAGGAATCATTGTGATATGACTGTTAGATAACACACTCTCTGATTTCTCTGAACTGTCCATCCTTAAATCACAGGAACACCCATTTTGTACAACCAAAGCACAGACTGATAGAGTTTAGAGTCATTGTAGGAGAAACATTACTTTCTTAGGAATGGGAGTAAATTTGTGGATAATGCTATCATTTTCCTTCCCTCCTCACTCAGAATCTGGGTATTCTAGACTGTGTGTCTGGCCCCTACTATTCTCAACTAGATTTCCTGTGTGATGGACCAAATTCAGTCAGGCAAGGCCACTGGCTGGCGATCTGCTTAAGAAACCAAGTTATTTTAGATCCTGGGGAAAAAGTGATAGTGTGTGCAGCTCCATCTCTAAGGCCATCAAGATAAAATTGTTTGTTCCCCAAGACTTCATCCTTTGTCTTTCTCATCCTTAAGCAGCCTGTATCAGGTACCTAGTGTTCTAGAAACCCATCCGTTTGACCAAGCAGAACATTCATCCCAGGCGGAGAGCTGCCCCATAGCTCACAGCTTAGAACTATAGCACCCGAAGGAAAACATGGCAGGGAGAGATAAAGTGGCTTTATCTAAAAGCTTCAAGAGAAAAAAAGACCCTCCTTTTTTTTCTTGGTTCTAAGCTCATCAAGGATATCCACACGAGCTGAATATTTTCTCTCATACAACTTCCACAGGCATGAGAAAATGCTTTCTATAAAGACTAGTGACCTAAACTGTGTGTGCTTCTGCAAAACTTCCAGTCCATACCCAGAAAATCTCAGAACGATACTCACTCTGCACAGGAATTTTGAGTGGCAGGCTTCGTTTCCTTACTTGGGCATTCATTGTTTCTGCCGTGCACTGATACCACATAAAATCTTCAGTCCATATGGCAGGAATGTGGAACTCCGAGGAGTTGCTGCAACCTAACCTCTGAGCCTGGAGGTTTCTGATGAAACAGAACTGGATCTGGTCACCTGACCTCTGTGCAGAGAGCCGAGTGTGACAGGTCAGGGTCACTGGGCTTCCATCTATAGGTTGAGAAGGTCTGGCTGTCAGCACAGGAAGTGGGAATAACTCTAGAAAGGATCACAATCACCCACCGAGCCATTAAGTTCTCTGCAGAAAACCCCGATTCATCCTCAGCATCAGCATGTAGAGTGATGCCTCTTACCAAACACCAGCAAGAGAGAGAGAGGTGTGGCTTTTGGTTACCAGCACCCTTCCACCCAAAACACTGTTAGTGTTTTCTCTCAGTGGATTTGCAGTCCACCCTTCCTTCCTATTCTACCTCTACAACCATAGAGAGCTTGCCTCTGACTAATATATTCAGAATAATTAAAGCTCTACCTTGGACTTGAATTTTGACCTTATTGGAAGAAACACTGAGCCAAGCATTCTTCCCAGTGCAGTGGTATTCATCGTTGTTCCTTAGATTTTTATGGTAGATATAGAGGTTGGAAACTTGACCAGATGATCTCAGAATGACACCATTCTTGTGAAATTTCAGGGTCTTTTGGTTTACACTTTCCTTTGTGTGGCACCTCAAAACCACAGAGTCTCCTTCGAATATTGCGGGTGGAGCTTGCAGCACCAGGGAATCTGTGGAACATACCAGGTCCATCACTTGCCTAATTCTCCCATTTGTCCCTCTCATTACTATCCCAAGTAGGCTTTACAGGAGGAGGGATTGAAGAAAATGTCCTTAGTTCTTTTTCTGAGTTTAAAATAAACACCTACAGTTTGATAAAAGCTGGAAGGCAGAAGGCTAGTTAAAAAGCTCCCATTATTATTATCATGGGGAATCAATCTTCTAGTTCTTTCTCCCATGTTGGAGTACCAGAGTTTCTTTCTTTCTTTCTTTCTTTCTTTCTTTCTTTCTTTCTTTCTTCCTTCCTTCCTTCCTTCCTTTCTTTTCTTTTTTTTTTTTTGTTGCCTCTATTAGAGGATTTTAATGAGCTGTATCTACTTGCCAGCTTGCCTTTCATTTGACTAGTGTATTTTCAAGTTGCATCACCACTGAAACTGATTTCCAATAGCCACAGTTTTCCCTCAATACTAGCAATATAATTAAATGAGATTTCCTGTTCATTTAGGGACCTTCATTTTGGGATGTGTAGATGTGTATGCTTCAGTGGGTAAATGTTCAAGGGAATCATTAGATCAAGGAACATAGCCTTTTCCCCTTTCCTTGCTAATAGTGTGTTTTCTTGCTCACTAAATCAAAGACAGTTATCACAAAGCTGACACTACTTCAACTTCAGAACAGGATGTTTCAAGATCAAAAGAGAAAATGACTCCCTCCTTTGCCCCTCTCCCTCTCTTTGTATATCTATAAAAATCAATCAATTTATTTCTATCTAACATTTACATATATTTATAAATACTGAAGTCCTCATGGTAATTATAATTCCTAATAAGGAAAATGGATTCAAGAACCATCCAAATAAATTGCTTCTCAATGAACAGTTTATAAATACTACATATTCTTGAGGCTCAAGAACCTCAAGTTTTGAGACTACAAATATAGTCTTTGTGCAGTCACAAAGATCTTTCTGATTCAGGCCAAACTTTAAGGATCACAGGGACAGAAGTTGGTGACTGTATTTGGTTCATCCAGAACTAAGTCAACTGTTAGTAACAATTAGACCTTTTGTATGCACTAGTTGAAGTTACTGCTTACTAGACTGAATATATTTTATACAATTTAAATTTTATTAATTTTTAAGTTTAAGTTTAAGGTAATTTTATTCTATAGCAGATTTTATATGTAACCATGGCATGAAATAGAATGGTTTGTTCATTGTAGTGAATAATAACTAAATCTATAGAGAAAATTGGACTGAAATGGTTTCTAACATTTTATTTCTCTTCCACCTTACCTTTATAAAAGTTTAAGATCACAGGAATGCTTAGAAGTAAGTTGTCAGCTTGGCATTTGTACACTCCAGACTCATGGACCATAAAGGTGTGTCCTTGGATTCTCTTGAGTTTTTCATTCATGTACCATTTTGTTTTCTGGGGTAAGTTGAAGCCATATCCATAGCAACTCAGAGTCACTGTCTCTCCTTGAAAGAAAGTGGTCCATGGAGGTTCAAGAGAAATCACAGATTGGGGTGTAATTTCTGAGGATGAGAGAAAATGAATCTGTAGCAGAGGTGCTCACAGTTTCAGTTCCAGAAGGACCATTCCCAAGAGCCCTGCCCCCAAGCTTACTGATGCTGAAGGCTGCATATCATCCAGGAGCACTGATTTTCTGGGGGCATGATAGATAGCAGAATTTACTCTAACACCAATGGTTAGCTAGCCTGCTTTGGAAGTGGATCCTAGATAAAATCACTTCTTCATAAGCCCACAAAGAACTACAGAATCATTAAAATCACAACCTTGAGTTTTCCCTAAAAGAAGAAATAATTTTATCAACTTTGACACTAGAAAAGCTTGAGAGACAAATGTATGCAATTGCCTTGTTTCATAGAGAATGGTTTCAATGATTGGAGGGTGGGATTGGAAAACCCACCCTCATTAGCTGTCAGAACAAGAAATAGATAGTCATCTGCTGACACCCTCAGGGGAGCTAGATAAGGGTGTGACTGGGTGGCCAGTTGTGGGGAGACTTCTTGATATTACTTTAGATCCTCAAATATCCAAAATCCCACTGACCCAGGAAGTTGGTAATGAGTCAGGACTGAGAAAATGTGTGTTCTAATGTTGATTTGCCAAAAATTAGAATCACCTGAGTAAGATTGGCGAGCTGTCTGGATTGTCTTGATTGATGTAAGAAGCCCCACTTGGACTGTGGGCAGCACTCTAAGGTAGCAGCCCATAGGAAGGGTATTTCAGAAGGAAGATCTCGTGCCTCTGACTCTCTTGGCCTTCTGTCTGATTGGCTCTGCCCTGCCGCTACCTTCTTCTGATTGGCTCTGCCCTGAAGCTGCCTTCCTCTGGGTTCTCAGCTTCTCGGGTGCCGTTAAGCTGTTGTTGCTGTTTTAAAGCACACTTAGATAGTTCTAGTCCTGTAGAGAAGACTGACTAAAATACTGCACTTTCCCTCGAGTGGCTCCAACTGTTGAACCCTCTTACTTCCCATGCACTCTCTGGAGGATTTTACTCTTAAAGGAGCAGAGGAAACAATGTTACAGTATGCCGGATTGGAGAGGAATCCATCCTGAGTCATTCACATTTACAGCAGAGGAAAGATGATTTTCATTGCTAGGCGGAGCCCATTGGCAACAGGATTCAAGGCAGGGCCTCAGAAAGTCGCCCCCCCCCACTCCCCTCCACCCCGTGCATTCACCCTCTCACCCAGAGAGTGCTAGAGAGCAGCATCAAGTTGCTCTGGCTTGGAGCAGTATCAAAGGGCCAACCATCACTTTCAAGTCTCTCTTAGCCTCAGCAGGGAATGTGAGACATTAGGGAGAAACTCTTCCCAAGGACTCACCATATGGACCACTGACAGGAGCTGGAAAAAAAAAAAAAAAAAAAAAAAAAAAAAAAAACAAAACCAAGGAAACAGCAAAAACCAAGAGTAAGAGATGAAAGCTCAGAGTAGGGACTCTTCTTCTTTGAAAACATAATGTGTTCCCACATCCAGTTTTACTGTTCTCATGAAAAGTAAAAGTTCATTTATAAAAATGTTGGCAATTGTTTGTCAAATGTCTGTATGTATGGAGATATTGCCCATGAACTTTAAAGATAAATTTAAAAATGCTACTTTCTGGCAAAAAGTATAATACTGGAGATGGGTGCAATGATAGCAAGACACATGGACTAACCAGCTTAATGTGGAGACAGAGAGATGGAGGTAGAGAGAGAGAGAGCGCGCATGTGTGCCGAGGAGATGGGGATACCATAGAATACTTAAAGGAAATTATGACCAAGAACACAGGAGCCATCTGAGTGAAGGTTAACACTGGTTTGTGTCTGGCATAAGAGCACAGAGAGGGTGATCAAGGCAAGAAGGGTACAAAGGAAAGGACACTGGTGTTCGGGAGTGGATTGAGCAGTTTTGGCAGGTGAGGAGTGGTGGGAGAAATAGAGTTGGGAAGGAATACAGGGTGAAGGGAGTAGCTCCAGTTTTTTTTTTTTTTGTTTTGTTTTTTTTAGAAGCCACAGGGAGCCATAGAAAGAGTTCAAGAATGTGATGAAACCAGAACTTGAGGTTTTGATGGAGTGTTCTGGCAGAGAGAAACCTTACATGGAGTAGATGGGAAATATCGCAGCTAGGTGATTGGCAAAGTTTAACTTTCTTCATAGTGTTTACTCAGGCTTATCTGAATCAAGTGCAGGTTTATGGGTCATTTGGAAGGCCTGCTCTCTATAGAAAGTCCTGCTCTGGAATGGAAGGGCTGTGAGCTTTTAAAGAATCAGTTAAAACCTGTCAAGTCATTCGGAGTAGGGTCTAGGCCCTCCTATCTCTAGGCTAGGGATGTGCTCCCAAAGTCCTTTCGTGCACCAGGGATGCATCCTGGTTCCACTGTCAGAGGTCCCTTAGTCTGCCCAGGCCTCCTAACTGAGACCCATGTTCAGGGGGTCTGAGTTGGGACAATGCTGGTGTCCCAGCTAACAATCTGGGGAACCATGAGCTCCCCGTTTTTCAGGTCAGCTGTCTCTGTGGGTTTCTGTCAAACTCTCAGCCTTGTGATAAATGGCAAGTCTTCCGACAATGAGCCACACCCCAGCCTTGCATGCCTGCTCTTATCACTAAAAAATGCCTTTTGCCTTTGTCCTTACATAAGCTTTCATTTTTGCCCTCTTTCCTCATATGTAGGAAGATATAGAAGTATGCTTTGCTGTTTTAACTTGTTTTAACTTGCCCTATTTCACCAATTTCACTTCAGCCATTAGTTTGCCAGTCTCACCCACAAGGCACCACACACAGGTGATTTCTTTTGTCTAGAATGCCTGGCCTTCTTTCCTGAATTCATTCAGTTATTTCTAACTCCCCTGTGGGACCTAACGTGACCCCTTGCCAAGTAAATTTCTCTTTCATTGTGATTTTTTGTAGTAGTATGTTGCTCTTTCTCTTAAGATTATATTCTTCAGCTGTATTTTGTAAAGATGTAAATGTAATAAAAAAAAAAAAAGAATCAGTTAAAACACAAACAAACTAGGCCGATAATAGAAATAGGTCAGGGTTGAGACCTGAGTAATGAGGAGAGGAAGGTGGCAAAACTCAGCAGGTTTATAAATTATAATCCAGAGAAAAGCTGGATTAGATTCTTTCACTTGAAAGAAATTTCTGTAATACTAGCCATTTACTGGGCAATGCAATGAAAATGTGAGGGACACATCACCCCTGTCAATCTGGAGATGATGGGAGAATGGCTTAAACCCAAGTGTTTTATTGAGACCAAGTGATTAGTTACCATTACCCATCATGGTCACCATGGCTTTTGTATTTGAGGGCTTTCTACTTGGTATGCAATTACACATGTCATTTCATGTAACACTATAAGTTAAGTGCCATTTCATATATAAGAAATCTGTTTAACTTAAAGAAAAGATCCAGCACCCTTAGCCATTGGGGAAATGCAAATCAAAACTACTTTGGGATTCCATCTTACACCTGCCATTGGCTAAGATCAATAAAGCAAGTGACAGCTCATGCTGGAAAGGATGTTGAATAAATGGGAGACTGGCCCATTGCTGATGGGAGTGCAAACTTGTAGAGCTACTATATAAATCAGTGTGGCAAATCGATGCAAATCGATTTTCCTCACTATCCAGTTATATATTCTTGGGAATACACACAAAGGATGCTTCAGCCTACTACAAAGACACTTGTTCAACCATGTTCACTGATGCTCTATTCAGAATAGCCAGAAATCTGAAACAACCTAGATATCCCTCAATAGAAAAATAGATAAAAAAATATAGTACATTAACACAATGAAGTATTATTCATCCTTTAAAAACAATAACAAAATTATAACAACAATAACAAAGCACCCATCATGAACTTTGTAGGTAAACAGATGGAACTAGAAAAAAAAAATCACTCTGAGTGACATAACCCAGACCCAAAAGACAAATACGGTATGTATTCACTAATGTGTGGATATTAGCTATTAAGTCGATGATAACCAAACTATGATCTGTAGAACCACAGTGTGTAGGTATGGAGTAAGGGACTAGAGGTACAGGTAGATCTCATTAGGAAAGGGAAATAGAATATATAATTATGGGTGGATGGAAGGTGCTGGAATGGGAGGACCAAGCCTGGAGGGGTTAAGAGGAAGGATGTTGAAGGGGGAATACAGGGAGAGTCAGTGGCATTTGAGGGGTACTATGAAAAAATAACATATAAAATATATATGTATATGGCAGAAGTCTAAATGAAATTTCCAAATAATGGGGGAGACAGAGTTCCACAGGCCATCTCTTGTCACCAAGCAAAGCTTCCAGTACTAGGACTGGGTTACATGTAATTGAATTGTTGGACAAAGGGGTCCAGTGGGAATCCCCAAATAATCCAGGCTGTTGACAAGACTATAGACTGCTCTCCATAAACTGGCAGTAAGGCCCCATTAATGGAGACAACGTCCACACAAATCATTGAACATGGAGATGTTGAGCTGGTGTCTACATAGAGCCTTTACTCGTGTATTCTAGTGTCTTTGGTAAAGGAAGGTACTTTGCTCACTACCCAAAGAGAAATGTAAGTCAACCCAGCCACAAATCTTCTGACCTACAATGGTGTCCTGCTTGAGAGATTTGCTAGGGCAATGGTGGCACAAAACTTGTGCAAGTAACCAACCAGTAACTGATTTGACTTAAAGCCCACTCTACAAGATGGAACCCATACCCAATGCTGCACTGCCTGGGTGACCAAGAACCAGAGAGTAGATCACCCAGGGATTGAAAGCTGGTCTTAAGAAACAAAAATATAGTGATTAATGACTCCTAATGATAATCTGATATACTCATAGATCAGGTGCATTATTCAGCCATCATTAGAGAAGCTTCCTCCTGCAGAAGACGGGAACAAATACAGAGATCCATAGCCTGAGTTTCAGAAGCTATTTACCAGCAGTTTTGTGTGCATATATTTATCTGTCTGTCCATCCACTGGGACTGTTTAAGTGGCATTGCATTTCCCAGCTGTTTCTTGTACTCTGGCTTTGCTGAGAACTCTTCTGCAGCTTTCTTTGTGGCTATGAAACAGCCTATCATCCTCAGCATTGGGTACAATGTTGCACACAGATGGCTCTAAGATTTTTATTGAATAGGTAGACCCACATCTAACTCTAATTTTTCAGGCAGTAAAAAGCAAACACTTTTTAGGTATGAACTGACAGAAATGCACACCCATGGGCAGTGACATAGTCATCTGCTATAGGTGCCTTCCCTTCCTGCTTTCCCATGTGTCCATTTCTGACTTCCACAGTGCTCTTATTGTGCCCAGGCCGTCTGTGGCTGACACAAATATGCAGAAGGAGCTATCCTCTATGTGAATGCCTTATCTTTTCGAGCACAAGACCAGGACTAGCCTGCCATACAAGGAATTAAAATATAGCTCTCATTTGACTCAACAAGTGTGAACAAGCAAGTGTGATTTGTTTTCTGTATTTTATAAAGTATTTGGTAAAGAAAATAAAACAACCAACCAAACAAACAAAAAGTGAAATTTTAATTATCGCTGTTGTATCAGTTTCCTCCCCTGCCAATCGAAGGATTTTCCCTCCTGTGACTACTTTCCTTGGGCTCAGGAGGGGAAATCCTGAGCTGTGCAAAAATTGGGGAAGAGTCTCACGTGGGGAAACTCTGTGGTGCTGAAACTCAAGAGATGACCAGGCCTGTGGTGGAGAGAGATGGATGCTGCCCAACCCACTCCAGACCCATATTGAGCCGTCTACTCACTCACAACCGGTAGAGTCAACCACAGTGGCATGAAGACCACCCAGGACGAGACTGAAGGAGGCATTTTCTCACAAGTAGCAGTTGGCACCTGCTCTTGATCTCACAGTAGTTCATACGCAGCTCAAACCAGCTCCAGTGAGGATATCTGGGAAACTGCTCTTCTAAAACAGAAGAGTGCATCTTGAATCAGAAAAAGGAAGTAGGGGTATCTAGATTTAACTATTAACTATTAGTTCCCTCCCCTACAGCCAAAGTGAAAAGGTTAAGTTGTTCAAAAAAATCACATGCCCTTAACCCCACATTTCAGCTGTTGGGAAATTCCCTTAAAGAATTTACAAGAAGAAAGTTCGGTGAAAGATGTCTGTCTGTCATCCGAACTGTCTGAACAGGGCAGCATCATACATGATTATGGCTGTGGGACTGTACAATGATGTCATCAATGGTGAAGTGAAGCTACGCATATGCAAAGGGCAAGAGCATCCGGCAGGAGAAAGTGAGGTGTGAGTTGGTATTTGTGGTGTGCACCTTTGTGGTGCAGAGGCAAGAAATGGGATGTATGTATGTACTTATGAAAAACTCTAAGGGTATGTTTTCCGCAGTGTGCACAAAATCAGCAGCTGTATTTGAGAAATTAAGGGGCAAGTAGACATTTCATTATGTCTTTCTGTGCTAGTTTTTCCCCCTTCATATTATTATGTGAGTGGATTGCTTTTAAATTTCAATTTAATATTTTAAAGGTCAAATTTCTAGTCTGACAGTGGGTCAACAAAGTTCCCTTATATAAGAAGTGAGATTTCCCCCCCCCTCCCTTACAGATGACTTTCCTCATAGTTTCTTTTTGGACTCAAATCTTGGTCTTCCCCAAAAGATATTTAATTTCATATTTATCAATTCTTCAGGCATTTATGTCACATCAATCTCACTGTGCCCTGAGAAAAACATATAGAGGTAAGCACATGGATTTGTTCCAGTTTAGGAGGAGACTCTCAAGGGGAAGCATGTTAATACACTTTTGAAGCTGAGACAGCATGACAGTGACCATTCTGTGTGTCTCCTGTGGTTATACACACCTGTTTCTACTGGGCGTACACTTGGTGGACTTCCTGGCTTGTAGAGTAGGCAATACTGTATGCAGTTTAGAAAGTGCTGATTGATTACTTTCTGTAGCAGGCTTTCTTTTGGGCCACCAGCCAGCTCCCAAATCATGACACGGAGACTTATTACTTATGAATGCTCGGCCTTAGTTTATGCTTGTCCCACCAGCTCTCATAACTTATTTTAACCTGTTTGGCGTCTCATCTACATTTTGCCTCGGGGCATTTTACTTTTCTTTCTTTCTGTGCGTCTTACTTTCACTGTTTCCTCCATGTCTGGGTGGCTGGCCCTGGGTTTCTCCCTCTCTCTCTCCATGAGTCTAGATTCTCCCTCCTACTTATTCTCTCGCCCACCGGCTCCACCTATCCCTTCTCTGCCTAGCTATTGGTCATTCAGCTTTTTATTAGACCAATTAGGTGCCTTAGGCAGGCAAAGCAACACATCTTTACATCATTAAACAAATGCGGCACACCTTTACATAATTACTATTTTGCAATTACTTTCTGATATGATGAGTTAGAACTCCACCAGGCAGCATGTGAAGCCTCATTGCCCTCCAACCCTCAGGGGATATTGTGCTCATCTTGGATATTTTAGCCATTCTGATGAATTATGAGATCCTAACTTTTTCATATTGTATGGTTCATTAATTTTTTTTTTTTTTTTGAGGCAGAGTCTTACTATATCTCTGGCTGGCTTGGAACTCACTCTGTAGACCAGGCTGGCTCTGAACTCATAGAGCTCTGCCTTTGTCTCCCAAGTTCTGGGATTAAATGTGTGAACTATTATACCTAGAAGACTTTTTCATATTTGAATGGTATTTTAGAACACTTTTAAAATGTGAAATATTTGTTCAAATCTCTCAGTCTTTCTCATATTATTTTGTAGTCCTTTAAAATTCTGGACATGAATTTTTTTTTGACATATGTATGAAATGTCTTTCTTTACTCTGGCGGTGCCTTTTTATGAATGACCATTTCAGATTTGGTATAGAACAATTCATCTGCCTTTCCATTTATGGCTAGGGATTTTTACAACCCCTTTATAAACTCTGTTTACTCCAAGGTCATGAGGATACTCTCGGCTTGTCTCTAGATATCTACTATATCATTATATCTAATTTTCATCTGTATCAGAAATGGACATGTTTGCTTACATTTAGTGTTAGTAAATGATAAAATAATATGTACATAAAAGAATTGCTTTAAAAATACATTTCTTTATGGATTATTACAAGTTCATGTTTGACATATATATTTGACCTAAATACCTAATACCGGAGCATGAGTAAACCAAGTTTGAGAAGCCATGATTTGGACTCTTCATGAAACTGGACTTGCTGAAGTTTGAGTCATTCTATAACCTGGGTTCTTTCAGATTTGTTGCCTGTACAATCCTATTGCCTGTGAATACTGACAATTTTATTTGTTATGCTTGAAATAGTGAAACCCCTTTGCCTCTGACTGCCACCCTGAGGGCAACCTTCAGCATGGCGCTGAGGCAGTGGCACCAAGTCTCCTCTTGGTTTCACTATCCACCGTTAAATATGATGTTTTCTGAAAGTGTTGCTGGCAGATACTCTTCACTAACTGGAGTACATTTCCTTCTGTTCTGAATTCAGTCACAGTTTTCTTCAGTAAAGGACATTGAGTGTATTAGTAACTGTTAGTTTGGGATTGATGGAGATAGACATCTCCAGGAGCAGAATTGTTCCAGAATTGTCAGAACTGAAGGGCCACCATCTATGCGGGAGTAGAGACCGTGTGCACGTGGCACAGGGTTTTGTAGTGCAGTCTAAGGGCTGGGCTGGAAGAGTCTGCCTGCAGGTCAGCTCCAATGCAGTCTCACAGTGGTGAATGTCTCTATTAGATGCTTCCAAACAGCCCACAGACGCCATCAGTCAACTTTCTCATCCTGGGCACCAGATGCTTTTAGGTCTGTCACCCTGCGGTAACCTTTCTCCTTGCTGAGACCAAATAGCAACATCAGGGCAGAAAGTTAAGTGCATGTACAGTGAGGGGAAGCAACTCTTTTCTTGTCAATATGGCAAGTAACATTGATAATTACAAATGTCAGGCCAACTCTGCATCCAGCTTGTCTGTGATTTGTCCACTGAAGATGGCTTGTAAGTTTGGTTTTGGCATTTCTTTCCATAAGAAAGATGAACCTAAGACTTCATTTTCTCATCAATTCTGGTGTCAAGATTAGAGTGATCTCATAAAATAGATTGTTTATTTATTTATTTTGTATTGTCTTTAAGAGTTTTTGTAAAACTAATGTTGCTGTTAAATATTTGGACATTTCACTGTTTAAGCTAACTAGCCTTTTACGTTCTTGGTGTGGAGGTAGGGAAAATGATTTATTACAGATCTAAATCTTAAAACTGATATGGGCTTATTCAGATATCTTATTTGTTTTCGGGTAGGTTAGGTAAATTGTGTCTTTCCAGAAATTTGCTTGACCGTTTTTTTTCCAAGTCACAGCAGATTTTACATATCCTGCTGTGTTCCCAGTGTCTGTGAGGTCCACAGCATTTCACAGGACACAGCAGGACTTCCCTTTTCATTCCTAGTTGATAGTTGTGTCTGCTAAAAAATCTCCTTTTGCTGCTAAGCTAATCAGTCTCTGCAGGGACTCATCAGCTGCATTAGCTTTTTCAAAGAGCCTCTGACTTTGTGGTTTTTCTCTGCTGTAAATTCATTTCCTATTTCATTGATTCTGATCTTTGTTGTTTTCTAATTTCTTCCTTTTAAAATTAATCTGCTTTAAAAGAACTTCATATAGAGACATTTACCTCCTTTAAAAAAAAAAAAACAAATTCATGCTCGTTTCTAATATATATGCTTATGCTGTACTTTTTTTCTTTTGTCTAAGTGTGGTTTAAACTGCAATACATCCATTTTGACAGGTTATATTTTTATGGTCATTTTCTTCAAAATACTTCAAATTTCATTCAGATTTCCTTTCTGGTCAATGAAATAATTTGAAGCATATTGTTTCATTTCATTTTATTTATTTATTTTTGTTTTTGTTTGTTTATTTATTTTTTTGAGACAGGGTTTCTCTGTGTAACAGCCCTATGTGTCCTGGCACTCACTCTGTAGACCAGGCTGGCCTCAAACTCACAGAGATTCGCCTGCCTCTGCCTCCCAAGTGCTGGGAGTAAATGCGTGCACAACCGCTGCCCAGCTCATTTTATAACTCTTAGGACCTTTTCCCTCTTATTATTGATCTCTAGTTCAGTTTCACTGTGGTCTGAGAACACATTTTACAGTTTCAGTGCATGAATTTATCAAAGTTTGTGCCCCGGCCCATGGGGTCAGTCGACGGGGACCCTGAGGGAGGGAGGGAGGATGAGGGGGGCAATAGATGAGAGATGGAAACAAAACAGTATTCTGATCCAAGTCTCGTTTAGTGAATATAACCACGGGGTTTAAATAATGGAGGGAATGGGCCAAAGGGAGGATGTGAGGGAGGCAGAATGTCCTTCCAAGCAGGATGCGGGTGTTCTGCTATGAGTTGCTATGTTATAAGCCTGCAGCTGGGACTCTTTCAGGATCAGGCTGCATCATGTTTAACAGAACAGTCATAGGGGAGTGGAAAATTACCAGTATGTTAGTATCTAAGAGAACAGTAGGAAGGATGGCTGTTAAGATGCTAACTTGGCTCTGGGGTCCCCACAAGTTTGTTTTATGGACTGGCACACAGTCAGATTTTCTAAACATTCTGTATTTTCTTTAGAAGAACCTGGGTTCAGTATTGGTGCAGAATTTATCAAACTGTAAGTGGTATTGGTTCAATATCCTGTACTCAGGCTTTTTTCCCCCCCTCTTTGAATCAATTATTGAGAAAATTATGTTAAAATTTCTCACCATAATTGTGAATTTTTCCATTTTCTTTCTTTGTTTGCACCTCTTCTTTTGATGTAGAATTTGGAGTTATTTTGTGAAATGTAAAGGCACTACAATAGTTATCTTCCCTGAAGGTTTGACAAGTGCCGGGAGCATCATGGCATGAGCCTTAGAGATTGCCAGCCTTTTTCTTAGAATAGCCCATCCAGTTAGAATATTGCTACCTTCCGTTCCAATCTACCTTCCTCCCCTCCCCACCTTCCTGAGAAGTAG